CTGCCCCTGTTGGGAGGCAAGACACTGTGATGACTGTGAGTGGCAGAGGAGTGAGCAGACGGATGATACTCGCGAGGAGGTGGCTGTTGTAGACAACCATTAGAAGTAGAAGCGAGAGAGGACTTGCTAGTAGCCGCCGCATAAGAAAGATCCGGAATATGAGTTAGGGTTTCTGGTTCGCGTGCATTGTATGCTAGTTCAAAAGCGTTGAGATCTTTATAATTTACGGCAGAACGGACCTGAGTTGAGGAATGTGGGAGAGTAGGGAAGTCGGAAGGATGAAATATGTTGGGAGGGGGAGAGGAGGAAGGAGAAAGAGATGTGGCACCTAGTTTGAGGCGAGCCTCAGTGTACGAAATATTTTCCAACGTCGCCGTAGCGTAAATGTGTTTCTGCCTCAAATAGGAGGGACACAACGGGGAAGACGGCAGGTGCTCACCCCCGCAGTTGCAACAGTGGGGCGGAAGCCGAAGTCGAGGGCAGTCATCGAGAGTAGCATGCTTTTCATTACCACAACGAGCACATCGCGCCTTACCTTTGCAATCAGCGTTGACGTGACCGTATCTAAGACATGAGAAACACATTAAGACCCTAGGAAAGTAGGGATAAACGGGGAAGTTGACATGCATAAAGGTGACAGCTCGTGGAAGGAATTGGCCGCGAAATTTGATTAGAACAGATCTAGAGGGCGAAGTGGTTAGTTTGCCGTTTTTCCGAGATCTAATATTAAAGCGTTTAGCCGATAAAATCTTAAACTGAGACGAGAAGAGGTTCACTACATCGTTTTCTGAGATGTCGAGAGGCACGTTTCTAATGACACCCGTACGGAGAATGTTAAATGAAGGGATGAATGCATTGAGACCGGCCTCCTTAATACTCGGATGTGAGAGCGCACGATTAGCAATTGCGTAGTCACCAAAGTGCACGGCTACTTTGTTCTTACCTGCCGATTTAACCTCTAGAATCTTTCCGTTGGCGAATCGCGAGACAATTCGCGCAACCGAAATAGGATCAAGGCGTGTATCATTATTAGGACCGTCGACAGTGCGTCTTACGAATACAATGTAAGGGGCCCGATCTCCTTTGTCATAGGTTATGTTAGGGTTAAGGTGACCGGTATCAACAGCGTTCACATTGATGTTATCGTTACCGTTCACGTTAAGCGGCAGCCCAGATGAGGGATCCTCACCATCAATTGTCGAGCCACGAGCGCGCTTGCTCGGAGGTTTTCCCCCTTCTTGTCACTATCAACTTTAGGCGAAGCCCGCGAAGCCGAAGTTTGAATGTCCACTTCAACATTGTCCATATCCATGGGAATATCATGATTAAGTGAAGAGGGGTTAGTTTCCCGGTCCCCACATGCACTTAACGAAGACCTGGATCCAGAGTGAGAGCGAGAGCGCGATCGCGAGAAAGAAATCGGGGTTGTAGAAACCGGCGGAGAGAGATCACGCAAAGTCGAGGTCCGCGCGGCCCTCCCCCTCTTGCCCTTCTTTGTTAGATTAATGTTCGCCTTTTCACCCGCGGATGATGTAACCGGCGATGGTTTTTGCCAATTAGACAAAGGCGGGGGCATAGAATGTGCAATCGAAGGCTGCTTATTATCGTCAGCGTCATGATCACCGCTCACACGTCCGAAAAAAGAATCAAATTCCTCAAGGGGCGCAGAAAGTCGGTTACTAATGGGTGCCGAGCCACCGCCGGCATCCGGCGGGGCAG